TGCTCTTTTGATTGGCCGAAGGTTGTCCTGCACTCAAGTTGTCTAAGTTACATAATTTGTTTTGTTAGCAGCCAGTAGGTTGCCTAAATTTGGATGGTAAGCCTTCAGCTGCAGATAGGACTTGGATTTAAGGGCTAGAATGCTCCATTTACTCAGTCAAACAGGATAACCGAAGGACCTGAGAGTGTGGAGGCTTTTAAACTGTTTGGGGAAAACGGACAATAAAATTCAAATAGCGAGTAATATAAAAACTCTAAACTGCTTTGCTGCTAAATATAAATACTTATGTTTCTATAAGTGTTTATTATACATAAAATATAAAATGAAAATGATCAATTAACTAGCATAGCTTTGTCTTAGGGCTCAGCTTCCAATCCAAAACTGCTGTTCAGTGTAGCCGTTTTTGATGGCTTGCAGCTGATCTTGTGATCCTTTCTCCCCATTTTTCCTTCACCTGAGGTATATGCTCTGCCTTTACTTGGAGTCGGAATGCCATCCTTTTCCATGGCAAAACCATGGATTTAGACTTAAAAGTGCTGATCCACAAACCAATTAAGCATTCATACTTAATTGCACATTGTTCCTTTATATGCTGGTGAGAAAAAAACATCGTCTGCAAAAAGAAGCACGATTGAATGTAATGGCGTGACATCATCAGGGTGAGAGGTTTAATTCTACAATGAAAAGAACTTGGCTCTTTGGCAATGAGAAGAGGCAGTTTAAGTGGCTCCTGTTAAAGATGTCCTTGGGGCAGCGCCAGCTGGAGGTTTACCTGGCATGATGAACTGAGACAAAATCTTGAGGTTGACTCATGACCCACTGGAATGATCATACATACCTGTTGGCTTGGGTTTGGTTGGTGGATCGCCAAAGATGAGCTGAGAGCTGCGAGGATCTATCGCAAATGGGCTTCTCTGTCACCTTTTAAAAAGTACTATGAGAAGAGGAAGATACTAAAACGACAACAAAAACTACATTGAACTTTGTTGTAGTAGTGCTCCCTTGTTATAGCAATTAACACTGTGGGTAAATTGTTAACTAATAAAAATAATGGTCAAAAGCATGTATCATAAACAAAAATAAACCTTGAATTGTCTGCCTCTCTGGGTAGTTTCACCCAGAGGGAGATGGCTCAAGAGTGATGGACATCCTAATATAATACTATAAGACCTTATGTGGCATTTTTTGTGCCTTTAAAGGAACAGCAAAAGAGGCCAACTCAAAAGTCTCAAGGTAAGGCAGAGATCACAATCCCTCTTGGATACTGGAATTATTCCACACTGTGGGTCACAGGGTGATTATCTCTTCCTGTCAAGAATGCTGAGAATTTCCTGCATCCCCCTCACCACCTCCTCTTCCGGCCGTGTTAGTGGTTGTGCCTGAACATGTGGCAGAGAGCTCGGGCCTGGCCGTCTCTGTTTGAGTAGCGTGCTTGCTGTTACTGTTACCTAACGTTCAGCTGGAGCTTTAACATAAGCACTGAATTGAAGAGCCGTTTACGCAGTTCTCAGATCAAGCAGGGATGCTGAATCGGTTGAAGCGTATTCAGCAGGGCAAATAATGTGCACCTGCACACATTATTATAAGAGGCTACAGACATGGCCTGATATTGCTCTCTGTTCTTTGAGCTTGGTGTTGGAAAAGGACACTTTCATGCATCACCTTTTACCCTAGATTATGTATCTGTTGCTAACTAAGTCACATACTGCTTGAGTGCTAACTAATTATTATAAATCTAGAGCCTTTGTTCAAGTCTATCCGCCTCTGTTTTTAATGGCAAGTGCTGCCCTTTAACCTTTCTCTGTTATTCCCAGAGCTGACGAAAGTTGCATTACTATGCAAGGCGGGCTGACTCCACATTCCTCGGCAAGGACACTGAAAGAAACGTTTCTGTGTGCCTCAGTGTGTGAAGTATGCTATTTGTTGATCACTGTGTACTTGGCTCTCTGCCTAAACATGTGAACATATGCTGCATGCATGCACGAATGTGTGTGTACAGTATGTGTGTTTGCTCAGGCTCCAGCAGCAGTCAACTCTCAGCTATGTTGTTTGTGTCCAAGGCAGAAAGGAAAGCTCTGTTTGTGTAGGGTGGTGGTGCAGGAGGAGGTGGAGTAAGAATCAGACCCAAGTATAGGCTGTTTCACCACAGTAACTCTCTCTCCACCCATTCTACGCCCTTCTCTCCCTCTGCGTTCTCTCCCTCGTGCACTCCCACCTGCTTTTTCAGGAGGCCAACCGGGGCACCAGAACGGGGCGGGAAAATGTAGACGGCCTCAAAATGGAGGAGCGGAGAATTACACGAAGGCGTTTGGGGCCAACTTAATAAAGAGGGGAGGTGATTGAGTGTCTTAAATGGGACATATCAAAAGATATGATCACAGAGTTGAAGTTTTTATGTTTTTAATACGGTTTTCTGCAACCACGTGGATAGGTTTGTTCAATTTTAAAACATATCTGTCCTGGAGATTTCTCCCTATGTCACAAAATAATGAAAGCAAATGGAATTTATATTGTGGTGCGTGAAGAATGATATTTTCCAGAAACGCTAACCTTGTTACTTAAGGCATTACTTTGTCTGTGAATTATCCAGAGTGACATGGTTTAGGAACAAGATGCTGCTGTCATTTTTCACCTGAGTCATTGATAAAGTCATTAACAAAGTAAAGGCTTACAAGCGTTTCGCTTTCTGATTAAGTAATTATAGGTGTTATAGTGTTTCTGCATTAGAAGTCCAAGTCAAAAAGTCAATCCGGCCAAGTGATTTCCCCCGTGTGTGATGAAAATCTCCGCAAATGAATCTGTGGATGGCAAAAGCCTGCTAAGCCCTAAAGGGGGATTTAGCTGTTTTTAGCTTGCAAGTTTAGCACATCCAGCATTGCTTGGATGCATTCAGGAACCAATTTGCAACTCTTCACAGCAATAGATAAATTGAAGTAAAGACAAACAAATACTGTCAGTCAGCATGGAGAGGAATGCTAGAATATGTGTTTGCTAAATCAATAGCACAGCATCAACAAACAGTTTGGTGGCTCTTGGGACACCAGTGTTCCTCCTTCGGATTATGGCTCTCAAGGACATGGTTAGCATTTAGTTTCTTTACAAACAAGAAGTGGATTCCCTACTGATAAGATCAGCATATGGAGCTTATACTATGTGTTTAATTCCACCAAGCTACGTATATGACTTTATGTGGACTGTTTGTGTGTGCTCATGTGATTGGTGACCTTTATCTACTGAGGTTAATGCTTTCAGCGAGTGCAGTGGGTCTTTCCTATAATCAAATGAATTCCCGTTGTGCTTCAAACAGTAATGCGCTGTCTCTGTACCAGAGTGTATTTACTTTTATATCCGCAAAGAGAAATATAGAATGTCAGCCGACAGACTTTAAACTGTGGATCATGTCTGCATGGGCAAAACATCTCCTTCAGTATCCACGCGGGTTTTAGTAACACAGCAGGTCGCCTTTCTTTTCCAACCATATAGTTGTGTTTGTTTACTGAAGTGCTGCTTCTCTGGAACATCTATCAGAATAGAGGAAGAGCCACACCGAGCTTTGGACTACAAAGATGACGAAAACAAAGAAGACGAACTGCCCACAGCCTGTCAGATCCAGTCTGAGCAACCCGAGGATAGTTCCAGGCGTCAGTCTGAAGGCTCTCAGAACAGGAGCAAGCTGCAAACAGCCCAAGCATGCATGGCTAACTGTGCTGCCTGTGTCACACGGCTGTATGAACACGTTAACAAAACAGTAGCAAACAGGGACACTGTTGGATGCCTTGAAAACAGTGATTTCAGCTAAAGCAAGCCTGTGGACACTTTGAAGACTTGAACAGATTTGGGATTTCCAAGTCCGAGAAATCACCTTTAAAGCAATTAAGCTGGCAGAACGTCTGCTTCGGGAACACCTTGTGATAATTGCACTGTCAGATTTTAGCCATTGTTGTACCGCTGCTCAGATTTCTATTTTTATGCTCTAATCCTCACTAGCAGAAAATGTAAAAAAGAACATTAATAGAGGCCTTAAAGACTATTCAAGACTGGTTGTTTCTGTTCTGTCGGTGTGAAAGTAGGCCATGGGCTTCAGAGACTGAAGGAGAAATGATGTAACTAGGGACACACATGTGTATGTTGTTTTCTCCCAGGAGCCCCTGATCAACCCTTCTTGGCAAAGATGTAAATTTTGCTTAATTCTTGTCAAATAACAGAAATTATCTAACATCTATCTATCTAGACAGTACACTTTAATCTATATCTTGACCTCTCTTCTTCTCCTGATGTTAATTAACTGGACTACCTTCCCCAGAGGGATCTCTCAGACGGGCTATTTTTATCCCAGTGCTCTGTATTGCATGAACTGATGCCTCACTATGTGCTACATCTCAGCTCCTTTTGTCACCATAATGCAGTTATGCACGTGCAACACAGTCTAGCTCCAACGCAGAGGATCGCTCTGTTGTTTCTACTTCAGACATTCAAACAGTAGCATTTGATACACTGAGAGGAGGAAATGTTGAAAAGTCTATAAGCTGTAGGTGTTTTCTCATGTTTGTATTTTGATGTTGACACCGTTTTTGAAAATGGTAAACCGAGTTCTATCGCTTACTTGGTCAGAGGCACGGCTCACTCAGGTTGTTTAGTATAATAGGGATAGATGGTGGGCAGTGTGTCACACTTCTTTACAATGAGCCACTTTAGCTGTTTCCCACTAATTTCAATCAATGCTAAGCAAACCGTCTGCGAGCTATAACTTCCTACTCTCTGCTTTCCAAAGTCAAACGCCATCCATTTATCTCTCCGTTTTCTTAACTGCTTAAGTATATGAGTTGCAAGTAGGCTTGGAGTCTATCTTGCATGATGATGAGCAAGAGATAAGGTGTACCGGGGATTGGTCGCCAGTCTCCAAAGTCATATTAGTAGCAATTTCAGTGCAGGTCTTTAAGGTAAAAGAATGTCATGTAACCGCTCTCCTCTCTTACCCTTTTGGTTTTTATTTCTTTCAGTCTCCCAGTCCAACAGCAGCCTAAAGAAGCACCGGAGCCGGAGCATTTTCAGCCCCTTCTTCTGCTGCTTCCGCAACTACAATGACTACCACGTGGAGCCACCACCTGCCAACAACAAGACACTTTCTCTGCCCCCGCCCCCAGAGGAGAACGGCAGTCCTCCCAAGGTAAAGCTCATTTATCTCTCCTGTCAGAGTTGGCCGCAGTCCAGATTCCATACCACTTACATCTTACGTGTCCAAACACAAGAATTAGTTCATATTTTATGTCTGAAGTGCTAGTTCGACTGGAGTTCCAGTAACAAGTAACATTTGTTTGGTTTTGTTACAGAGACCTTGTTAGGGTTTGCCTTTTCCTGCAGAGAGCTGAGGCGCGCTCAGCCTCGCTGAGCTCCCTCAAATTTTTCCAGCTGCTTCAAACCCGTTGAACCCAGAGGTTGTTTACCATCCACTGCTTGAAAAATACGGGCTCACTTCCCATCTTGCATTCTTCGATATCTGCCTACGCACACAACTGCACACAAAATAACACACTGAGCACGCCGAGAAGCTCCAAAAAAAGACGCGCACTGGCTCTTTCTTGTGCACGAACCCACTACAACGCATGTACGGACACACACAAACACACATATGCACTCAAAAAACCCTCCTGCTTCTCTAATCCCCATAAAGTGGGCCTTGTGTGTCGGGGGGTGATGGATTGCTTGGCACCCACGCCTCCCCCTCTCCTCACTACACTCTGACCAGTGTAGTGAGGATGTGTGAAGAGAACGTTCTGGCTGTGGAAAAGGCGCCAAACCCTGAAGCTCCTCTACAAACACAGTGTTCTGCTGCCAAGGCAGGTACACGGGGCTAAAAATGGAGCAGACGTATCACATTTCCACTCCTGTTTACCTGTAAATGTCTCTCATTCAGGGGAGGAATGTGTGGCCCTTTACAGGCACTATACATGTGGTCAGTAATGACCCGCGTTGGACCTCCTCTTAACAAATGATTTCCCGTTAATTTAGAGTGAACCGAGCGAACCTCGCCATAAAAAGCCTTGTTATAGTACGCGGCTGATTTTTGAGCTGGGTCCGTGCCCACCGTCCCTCCCAACAGTGTACTGTTGCTGGATTTCTGGCCAGCCGTATTTGTTACTATGGCAGCTGTGTTTGTTTTTGACTGAGTTGTTCTCACTTTCCTCTCACCGTGTGTACTATACATCCCTTCCCTCTGTCTCTCAGGCTCGCTTTCTCCCCTTCCCATTTGCTGATTGGAATATTGACGTTGTCGATTTCTTTTTCACGGTTTTTCTTTCGCTTCCCTCTTTCTCCCCCTCCCCCCTTATTTTTCCACCCTGTCTCCCTTAATCTCTTTCTCTTTTTCTCTCTCTTTGCTTGTTTTCTCCAGTGTGACCAGGTCCAGGTCATCCCCATACCCAGTGTATGTATTATTATCTTTTGTTTTTCATCATCTTGCTCCAGCTCGCTAACCTCCTCCCTCTGCTTGCTGTGCCTCATCATTCTTGCTGCATGCAGCTGTTGACACGGAGGTGATTTTTTTTTGCTGTCAGATGAAATTTTGCACTGTCCCCTCTCGCATGATCATGTGGCTTTCAAGGCTTTCCTTTGTGCTGCTTTGTCTCCACTCACAGGACTGATAGAAAGAAACAATTCAGTTCCATCTGCTGTCACATGATTTATGTGTGGCTTTGTTGTCCTTTCCATCTCTACCCTGCTTCTCCAACTATTGAAAGAAAAGAACATGAGAGCGATTTTTCTCCGTAGATCAGATCGCAGCTCCAGTTTTGGGTAAACAAGTGGACAGACCTGATTGAATTAGGCGTTCGTCTTCATAAAAAACAGTTTTATTGGGATTATACAATAAATGGTCAATAAACTGCTGTTAGTCCATTAGAAGGGGGCTTGGTTTCAGCGACTTGTGCTTCATCTGCTCACCAGAAAAGGGGAATCATCTGATCCCTGCTTTGTTTGTGCTGAAACGGCAATTCATTTAGCTATTTTGGAATCTATGCGGTGCCTGTGGTTCACTGTAATTTAGGATATTCACACTCACAGCATCCCACATCGCAGCCAAGCTTTAAACTACACCACCCAGCAGACACCTCCCTGCAATAACAGGAAATGCATGCGGTGGTGAGGTCTGCTCTTTGTCTTGACGGGTAGGTCCAAACAGGCGGCTTTAAGATCTGCGTCTGAACTGGACGGGTCACAGCTGCGTCGACTGTTGTTGTAACACAGTGTTAAAAGAAGAGACAAAATATTACAACACGGCAAATATCACAGTAGCAAGCAGAGTCCCAATAACACATTTAAAATGAAGAATTTTTAAATTCTAGCTCCAAAAACTCATCGGAAATACAGAAAGATGTCAAAAATAACAAACTTTAATTTCAGGTTAATCTTCCTTGATCAGAAAACATCCAGTTTAGTGTCACGATCCTGGGTCTTATGACCCAGTGTTTTGAGTTTTAGTTCTTTTGATGTTTATAGTGTTTGTTTAAGCTTATTAGGTTTCTTATGTTCATTTGCTTATTAGCTCCCTCTTGTGTTTTCAACCCCTGTGAAGTCTCCCTTGCCCTTCGTGTGTTTCATGTCTGTGTGTCTTATGTTGTCATGTCTGCCTCTCATGTTTCCTGTTTTATTTTGAAGAGATCTTGTGTTCCTGTGTTCATTGTGTTTAGTTTTACTCTTCCACTGTGACATCGTTATGTTCATGTGTGTCAGCTGTCCCCCGTGTGTTCCCACTTCTTTCATTAGCCTCCTGTGTGTATTTAGTCTGTGCGTTCTCATTCAGTCTTCGTCCGATCGTCTGTGTTGTTCCCATGTCAAGTCCTGCGTTCAGGTTTTCATATATATATATAGATATGCGCTCATCTTCATTGCCATGTTTAGAGTTTTGTTTGTTTTTCTGCCAGGGTTTTTCATAGTTCGTGCTTCCTTTCTAGTTTACCCAGTTTAGGTTATTGCTTAGTTTGCATTGTTTTTGCCCTTTTATTTTGTACTGTTCTGTCTGCCTTAATAAACAGCTCATCAGTTAAGTTTGAGTTTTAGAATGTCTGCACCTGGGTCCACTCTTCACACTCCACGCAGTTTGCCTCGGCAAACTGTGACATTTAGACTAACTTGAAATGTTTATAACGCTATAAACAAAGTATGGAGACATTTTTTATTAAATCTTTTTACCTCAAGATTCTAATAATTTATTTTAGAGCTTTATAAATAAATAATTAAAAATAAAAAACATATCTAAAACAATAAGACATGTATCACTTGCAGTACTTTGCAAAAGTCTTGCATCACCTCTCATTTCTTTATAATTTGCTTTTAAGGAGACCGGCTCATTGTTAAAGTGATCTTGAGCAATAGTTCACAGCTCTTTCACTCACTTTTTACTCCGGTCCTCATGTCTCACTATTTCAGAGGAATATCTTTTTCTTAATCCACTTAACACTAATCATTCAAGCATAAAAAAAAACCACACCTAACTCAAGGGACGCGTCAGTGTTGTTTCTACACATAACAGACAAGTTAGCAACGAGCCGATTTTAAATTGGACCTTTAGGCAATTTCTCATTAGCATCCTGTTGCAAAAGCACAATTTATTTCCATTTCTTTAGCTGAACCCAAGAAAAATCCCAAAGATAACACAGTCTGCCAGGCATAAAAAAGAGCTATTAGCTAAAAACTTGGCATAATCGGTATGATGTGCAGCCTGTCCTTGATAAAAAATTAAGGAAACTGGCCAAGTGGAGGACGAAAGAAGAAGTGGCAGGACTAAGAAAAAAAAAAACTATCTACAGCAGGTGAATCTGAAAGTCATGTTCTTAAAAAGCAGGAAAAAACTGAGCAAAGACAGGACTTGATAGTGTCGATTCATCTACCGTTCACGGTGGAGACTCTGTCATAGTTTGGGGCTGTATTTCAGCCTGTGGTGTTTGGGATCTTGTCAAAGTTGATGAAATCAGAAAAGCACCATTAGATTTTAATCCATCATGGCTTAATTTTTGAGCATGACGATGATCCCAAACATACTGCCAACGTGGTAAAAGCATACCTGGACAGAAAAACACGGACATCAGTCATGGACGGGCCTCCCCAGACCTCAACATTATTGAAGCAGTGTGAGATCATTTTGACAGAGAACTCAACGAAAGCCGGCCAACATCCAAAGAAGAGCTTTGAATGTCCTTCAAGACGCCCAGAGAACTATTCCTGAAGCTTGTGGCTCAAGACTTTTGTGTGTAGCACAAATGCAAATGTGTTGCTTACTTGGCCAATTCTTGTTATTATCTCAAGTGTGGTTCTCTTACATTTATTCAGTCAGCCCGTTCTCACTCCCGACCCATAATGTACTGACGATTTGTCACGTCCCGAGGCGCTCCATGGGAACACAAAAGGTGATCTTCCACATTCCTATGCTACGCGCCGGATTGTGGATGAAATCGAATAGAATGACGTTCACGCGGTAACACACGTTCCAGCCATGTATTCCAGCCCTGACCCTAACCTTATCCCTAATGTTAACCACCACCTTAATCATGTTAGATAGTGTTTTCCAAAGCGATTTAAGTAAAATAAACGTACATGTGTATATTCATTCCAAACGGTTCTCATGTTTCCTAATGTTTCCGAACTCGTAATATAAAGACGTGTTGGGTGGCCGAAAGCATAATATACCGACGATTTGTCACCTAGCGTAAAATGTTAGGCTTTGGGAGCGAGAACGTGTTGATTCAGTAGCAGTAGTATAGACATTTGCTTCTCCTCTCTATATGCTCTAATAATAATAAAAGTAGAATTTCTGTCGCAAGGGATTGCATGTACATGTTCTGTGGGTTCCTTGAAGACAAACTAGGACATGTTGGAATTTTAATTTCCTCATAAATCCAAAGAGGATAAATTTGCCTGTTTATTTGATCTGTTGCTTCCAGCTGATCAACTATTTTCAATCAGTTAGCACATTTAACAAGTCTGTGAGAGCGCTCCCCGGCTGTGCCTTTGGGAGCACGCTTATTTTAACTGCTGGTGAGAATGTCAAGGTCCCAGTAAGCCTTTCTTTCTTTGTTCAACCTGCATGTGTAAATCACATTCATCACGCCCTGACAGGATGCCATTCAGTGCCCTTGCTCAAAAAGAATGCTTCCTGTGATACATCAGCATGCAGTCCTGCCATTAGGCATAATAATTCAGTCATGGTGGACCAAAAAACACACACAGAAGTACACATACATGCATATTTATTTAAGGTTGGCAGAGTCGTTGATCCCAGCCTCTATGTGTGTGGATGAATGTGTATATGCTGGTGCACGATCTGTATGTGTGTGTGTGTGGTTTGAGTGTGCGCCCCCCATGGCCGGACCATCTGCCCCGTGCCTGCCTGTAACCTCAGGCTCACCTCGTAGAGGACAATAGTGTCCCACCCGATCATAAAGACAGCATAGTCACAGAACTCTGTCATCGTGAGGTAACACAGAAAATATCGGCGCCGAGGAGAGTCCAGCAAGAAAAGCAGGCATGTCACTTTGAATATTATCATCTGAAGAAATAGCTCCTAAATTCGCATACGATGGCATTTAATTGGACATCAAGTATGTCAGGAAAAAACTGCTCCCTGTTGATGCTCTTAACACATTCTGGGGATAGTTTGGAAATAAGCACTGGTGATGTAGACAGAGCAGAGAGATAATTGGAGCTCTTTTTTCCTTATGTAGGATAGTCAGATGAGCTCATATAATTTGGCCAAATCATACAGCTTGTGGGTACACACTAAATCCCTTTTCCTCTCTGTGCATCGATGATTTTCTAAGCAGTTTCAAGACTTCTTGTTAAAAAACTTTTAAGTGAAATCTATATGTTGATTTTCGCATACTTTTAATAATGTAACATCTGTAATCAGAGAAGAAGCATTCCATGTTATCAAAGTGCTGATATATCTCTGAGCCGCAGAAGCTTAGGGACACCCGCCTGCAGGTCATTAATCCTGAGAAGTGTTTCTTGAGTGTCACCCAAAACACCCGAAGTGATCTTATCCAACACTCTGACTGAGCCACCAACACACCCTCAGTGTGTGCGTGTGTGTGGTTGTGTGGCCGCCTGTTCCCGATAATGCACTTCTCTATATGCGTACCATTAAGTATGCATGTGTGTGTTTTCTCTGCAGCCTCCAGCCAAGTTCCTCCTGCCAGAGGTCAGCATAGCAGACTATGGCAAGAACTGCGTAGTGATCGATCTGGACGAAACCCTTGTACACAGCTCCTTCAAGGTACGGCACCTCCCTATATGACCTCAAACACACTGTGCACTTTGAAATACGCCGACGTTGCGTTTTGTTTTTCCTCATGCTGTTGCTGTGCAGCCACAGTTGGATTAAACAGAAATAGGTCCTGAAAAATGACTCTACTGAATACGGTCTGAGGACAAATAGCATGAGCCCTGTTAGCATCACTGAGCTACACATAATCACATGAATCTATGTCCTTCAGAGTACAAAGGGTTCTTAATACCTGTTAGAACAGGTGAGAACGAGAAAGAGCAAGAACAGCTATCTGACTAAGAAGACCTGGAAGACTGATTTTCTCATCAGGTTTCCATCCATGCATCCATTGCAAACTGGGTTTCAAGGCAGGTGAAGCATCAAGCGATCCATAAGAGAAAACAGCACAGCACAGCACACCATTGATGCACAGCATCCACATCAGTGGCCAGTTTATGCTTCTCAATTAATGTAACGTGTCTTTAGTCGGTTGGAGGAAATTCACATGGCAAACAGGGAAAACCTGCAAGAAAAACCAGCGAGTTCAAACACAGAATCTTCTTTGTGGTGCTTATTACTAATTAATTAATTAATCATCAAATATCGGTATCGGTCTTCAAAATATATATCAGCCTACCGCTGCACCGCTGGGTTGCCCAACAGTTAGACATGATCATACCACATTGTCATTTCATTACGATAATTAAAATAATTTGATTTCTCAAACCATAAATAATTCAAGCCAAGTTTCAAACTTAAAATTCATGACATTTGGATATTTGTGGTTTTCATTAGACTGCAATTTGTATGTAGCTTAATTGGTGCCAGCCCTGCTTTTGTTTTCAGTAGTGAGCAGTACTACTTAGAGGCTGAAAATATGCTTAAAATGCTCCATCTGTATATGTAATGGCACAGATGTACGGCTATTTTTCACTCACAAACATGTTATAGTGCTTTTTTCAGCCTGCTGCAGGCACTTAAAGGGAAAGCCCAGTGTAGTAGGTACTAGTACACTATCCTTGTAAATGGCTCTTGTCTCTCACCATCAAAAGCTCCCTCTACTGACACACCTGGCACACCTAGTGACCCATTTGAGCACAGCTCTGCCCCGGCTTCAACTGATCTCGTTATGCCTGTGAGTACTACCTGCGCTTGGGTGCTTTTGCGCTCAGTGTCGGCGAGCTACGCAACAAAATAGCTCAAAGTAAAGTTGAAGTAGAAGTTTTATGTTCCACTTAAGTGGAACTCCTTTTAATTAAAGTGATTGTAGAGAAGAAAAAAAACTTTGAGTACATTGACTCGATTGCTTTGGACTGTGAAAGGACGAAAGGCACACAAACACACAGACAAACATTGAAGCGGACACACCCATCAGAATCACATGCCAGCAGGTCAGGGCCACACACTCACACACACACACACACAATCATACAGGCTCACCCACACACTAGGGTGTGTCCAATGCAGTGTACTCTTGGTTTGAATGGCTGTGGAACGGACTGTGCAGAAATCCTGGATCTAATACACTGCAGGCCAAAATGAGCCCAAAATTATTATTTTTTTCCTTTTGATCAAACTCACACACCAGATACCCAGTCCATCAAAATTCATTTAGTTCACAGATCAGTGTGCGGTATGAAATGGATTCACAATGCATTAAATGGAAATACGTTGAGAGAGGAAGAGAGGGAGACAGAAAGTGGCACCACGCAGCATTTTCAGTTCCTTCCAGAAGCATAGCAGGATTTCCTGTAGCTTTCCCGTTTCAAGGTGATTTTGATGTCAAATATTAAGCATTTTCTTTCCAAAGAAAATACATGCTTCCACTGGAAATTACACAATTATAGCAGAATAACAACAACTGACAAGGGATAGAGACGCTGCACAGATGGACGTAGACTAAAAAAGAAACGTTACATAACACATCACATACTCTTGCTTTTATCCTGCATATTATGGATGGGGAGATAAATCCTGAGCCCTCTCTGAGATTAGCTGCTGTGTGTGTGTGTGTTAGATGTGCACAAGTAGCTGAAATGAATGAAGACTGATCGGCATGCTGTACACTGTAGTAATTTGAACAGCGTGCATTTGCAAAGCACTTGTCAAAAGATGTCTTGCGCAACATCTGAGCATTAAAATTCCACAACAGCCTTTTCCTCTCTTGGGATCGATTTCCCTGATATTTTTGGGACCTGGCTGCAGGGATGCAGTCCCGTCCAGCCACAACGGTATTAGTGAGACCAACACCTGCACTTGGTGTCGCAGTCCATCTTAAAGATGTTGGATGGGGTTTAAGTCAGCACTCTGTGCAGGACATTGCAGTTCATCTGATTTATGTACTGAGAACTGGCATTGTCCGGTTAAACTGGGTCTCATCCCTGAAGCAGAAGGGTGAAAAAGTGCCAAAAAAAATGGTCAAGTTAAGAACTTAGGCCATGCAACATGCAAAATAATCAGTCTTTTAATACAACCTTTCTTCTTACCTTACCCAGGGACATCTAACTTCTTTTACTGTACACATATGAATATAACAGGCCAGCTAAAGTTTGAATTAATTGGAATGCTAGCCAATGAGAAAAGGTGTATTTTAAGTAATTTGTGATGTTAGGGTATGCTGTAGAATTACATGGAGATGTTTTTAATGGCACTAATTCTCATGAAGTAAAGGTGCGTAAATGTATGTAGAGCCCTGATTCTGAGCCAGAGTGTGGTCAGCAGGTGAAGCAACCCACGGTTCGGCAGAAATCCATAATTACACAACTGCCCGCATAACGTTTACCTTGGTTGCCCCCCCCCCACATATGTAATTCTGCTGCATTTCCGCATCTCTTGCCGACTCTGATCCGAGTCTGTTACAGAGCAGGGCAATTAGCAGCTGTTGTGTGTTCAGTCTTCAGATGATGGAGTGATTCAGCAGAAGAGCAGTAGGCACAGGAGCAGAGCGAAGTCTGTTTCTGCATCTCTGGCTCCGTCTGTATCGCACTCATCTCTTCCCATTCTCTTTGTGACGGTATGCTGGCATCCTTGTCCTCTTTCCAGCTTGTCACTGTTTTTATTTATTTTTTTAGACGGTTTTAGAAGAGCTTCAGTCATTTTTGCCCTCTGGTGTAAACATTAACCAAAGCTAAATATCATAATGCAAAACCGAGGCGTAGAATAAACACTGTATATCTAGGGAGGCTTTTACTGTTAATTGACTCACTCTGATGTCAGATAAAGGAAGAAGAAAGCACCTCTGGTTGTCACACTGATCCTATTAGAGTCACGTATGGACATTTGGAAGGTCAAAGTGCTGCACTTTGTATTCCTATAGCAAACACCCCCTCTGCTGGATGGTACTGAACTGTATTTTCCAACTGGTGTTTAGTAACAACACACATGCATAACAAGACATTTTACAGGCTTTTTAAAATGTGCATTAGTTGCGAGTACTATACATACAAGTTTTAAATAATTGCTCTGTATCTTACTATATTGTAATTAATTTAAACAAAGAAAATGCAATTAAACATTTGGGCTTAAATACAGGAATCTTTTGATATGGTTTAACATGGTAGCATTAGCATGTTATATTAGCATGTCTATAAAGCTAAATAGCAAAAAAAAAATCACGATAACTAGCTAGTTAAAAATAGATGCTCTCTCATTTTGTCTTATCCTATATGCTAGATTTGGGGAAATAGCTTCTCATGCTCCGCTGCAGTGGCTGAGTTTAATACGTCATTAAAACTGTAGGTAAACGTAGTTCATTTAAAAGCTAATCTGAGGGAAAAAGCAACAACAAATGAACAAGTTGGCTAATTAGCCTAGCTTCGACACTCTTTAGTCTTCAAACAGTGAGGGCAGGATCTGATTTTATCTGCCAAATGTTTTTTTTTTTTTGCGGGGAAGGAAGGAGCTAATTAACATTTTGATTAAAATAGCTTTTGAACTTCAAACGCTTGTTTGTGTAGCCACTGGTATTTGACTCTGTAATGCAGAATTAAGCAATAAATTCGGAAGCAAAGTTGTCATTCCCAGACATTATCAAAGACCAAGCTTTGGAGATTTCTTTAAAATTGAGCAGTGGAATTTAAATTAAGTGATATGTCTAAATAATCTTCAGTTAGTTTTCTTTCTATACAGCAAACTATAAGCTCCTACATAAAATTGTGTGTCTCTGAAAACAAGCAGATTTTCCCTGTCACCTGTTTTTCTTCCTTTCCCTCTCTGAAATGACACCGTCGTGCCTCCTACCTAATCCTTTCATCCTCCGTCTTTACACCCTCTGCTCGTCTTCCACCCACATCCCCTCTGGCATCTATCTTCCTCTTGCCTCCTGCTCCTCTCCTCTCCCCTTTTCTTGCGTTAGGAGAAAAAAAAATGACACAAGTCATGCAGAGTAAAAAGGCAGCACTCCTCCTGTCCGCGTTCAAGTCTGTCATCTTGTTCGGCTCTCAGGTTTCTCCCCAGAGTCTCACGCCTGGTTGTTATTTAACACTGAGATACGGAGCACTGGAGCAAAGGGAACCACATTATGCTGAAAGCCTTCATCATTTGCCTGGGGCACCTTACAGGAGTTTTTAACCTGTCTCTCTTTTTAAACCGCATGCAAGCTTGTGGCCGGGCTGTTTCCCTGTCAGAGTGAAGTTTTTGAATCTTTTCCTTGTTTCTTGTCCTCCTGCAGCCCATTAGCAATGCGGACTTCATTGTTCCGGTGGAGATTGATGGCACCGTTCATCAGGTAATACTGCACCGATATGGAGGGCTTCCAGAAATGGGCTTGAATAAAACAATGTGTGAATTTATAAGGGTGGAGACCTTGGCTTCACTTTACTTTCCTCTGTATTTATTATTCCCTTTTATCTCACAGTGATTTAAGCTCAAACTGTTTAGTTGTCTTTGATTTATTCTTTGAATCCTTGCTGCAGTAAAGATAACTGGACAGTGACGCGAGTGTTTCGGCGCATAATGTTGAAGCTGCTGTTGAGTTTGTAGCAGAAGACATGTAGAAATGTGCATAAAGGCCGGCGTCCTTTTGAAGGTTTAATTGTCTGTGTCCGGTTTGAAGCAAAGGAAGTGAGATTGTAGCTGTAACCTGGTTCAAGTAATCCAGGATAGGCTTTCTGCATCTGCTTTGGCCTATGCTTGATTACTTGCACTTGGAGGCAGCAACTAACCTGCAGAGATCTACTAAGAAGGACGAAGATGACAAGTAATGAAAAATAAGACCTCAAAGCATCCAAGTATTGCTCAAAAATGTTTTAAGTTTCATTTTTGTATCCCAACTTTACTTAAACACAAATCTGCAAGCAGGTAAAATTGAACTGAATAGTTATAGAGCAGCTAAAGAAGATTTCAAGAAGAAGAAGATTTCTTGTTTGGGTTTTTGCTCCAAAAAATGTATTTTGAAAAAAAAAAAAGACATAACGAAGACGTGTTCGTTACGTGTCTCGGTTTCAGGTGTACGTGCTGAAGAGGCCTCATGTGGACGAGTTCCTCCAGAAAATGGGGGAGATGTTTGAATGTGTCCTCTTCACAGCAAGCTTAGCCAAGGTTGGTTCCCAGCTGCTTTGACAGTTACAGTAATGCTTCTGTTCATTTGCTGTGTGCTGCTCAACCTGATGCGCTTTGGCCTGTTTAGTATGCTGACCCTGTGGCGGACCTGCTGGACCAATGGGGGGTGTTTCGCGCCCGTCTCTTCAGGGAATCCTGTGTTTTCCACAGAGGAAACTACGTCAAAGACCTCAGCCGACTGGGCCGAGAGCTCAGCAAAGTCATCATCATAGACAACTCACCTGCCTCTTATATCTTCCACCCTGAGAATGCAGTAAGTTATTTTTTAAAGAGATTTTTGATCTAAAACATACAGTTTCAAAGTCATTCATTCTTGGTAGCAGGAAGTAGAACACTGTGGAAAAGTCTTCAACCACGCCTCGTTTGTGCATATTCTGCTTCCAAGGAACCGGATTTTCTTGGAATTTTTTAACGTGGTCTTGAGCAATAGTTCTTCAGGTTTTCAAGGTCTTTCCTCTGGACATTTGCTGTTTTATCAACAGTCCAGTCATTGTGTCTGACCATTTTGTTATGTCTTCAGAAGTAGGCACCAGTTTTTTATCCACACATGACAGATAACTTAGCAAAAAACTCTTGTTCACATTTGTTCACATTTCTTTAATTAAATGTATGAAAAATGTCAAAGACAACACAGTTTCACAGACACAAATGAGTATTTTGGCATCGTCTACTAGCTAAAAACTTGGCATATCTCAGCAGTATGTCATTAAAGAATCTGAGGAAACTGGACAAGAGAAGGATAAAAGAAGAAGATCTGGCCCTTCAGTTGATGCATCTACTGTTCACTGAAGCGTCTTCAGAAATGGTCTCAGTGGAAAAGTGGCTGTCAAGAAGCCATTCATAAACGAGAAAACAGGAATAAAAGACAAATTATGCAAGAACTGGACTGAAGATCTGTCAAGGCCGAAAGGCCGGTAGGTGGGAGTGGACCCAAAAGCAGACTCAATGGACACACGAAAAATGATTTTTAACAAACTTTGAATGCAAGGGAAAGGAAGCGTGGGGACGTAGTATGAGTCTCCGACACAAAGGCACTGAAATAGAGCGAAAAGGTGGTCGATATCCAGAGCTTGGGTGCAATGGCCAAAAGTAAGAATGAGGTAAGGGGTCAGGCTTATGGGGCTGAAAGGTAGCGGAGGGTAGCTGAGTGAGTGTCTGGAAGGGTGTGTGAAAGGGTGAGGTTCCAACCTTATGCTTCCAGTGATCCAGAGATGATGGCAGGCAGGTGTGAGTGGTGAGTAGTTGAGTTTCCAAGGAGTAAAGTTGCAGGCTGGATCGGTGAGTTGTGACTGAAGCAACTAGCGTCCAAGTGAATACGCAGCAGGTGGGTTAACTTGGAGTCTTCACAAGCAGACTGAGGACACATTGAGATAGGGGTTAGTACCAGGGAATAACATGACTTATAAGAGACAAGGAGGCCTAGTTACCACAGCAAGGTAGCTAACGAACTGGCGAAGACTGGAGAACTAGGCTAGTCTTAAATACTGCTTTGCTGATTGCCGTCGATGGGATGCAGGTGGGAAGAACAGGTGAGGAACCCGAGTGCAGTAAAAGCATAACTGGATCCAAAAACGCACAGTGGAACACTTTGGGTCATGGATTGGCCTCCGCAGAGCCTGGACCTCAGCATTATTGAAGCACTGTGGGATCATCTTGACAGAAAACAGAACAAAAAAGGGCAGCCAAGATCCGAAGAAGGGCTTTGTATGTCCTTCAAGAAGAAGGAAGCTTGCCTAAAAGATGACAGATTATGTTGAAGAGCAAAGGCGGTCAAACAAATATTAACTTTCAAGCTTGTTAGAATTGCATATATTCCTTTGTAGTGTATTTCCATGTATGTTTGCACGCTTCATTTAATCACTGCACCTATTTTCCAGGCAAAATATAAAGAAATTAGAGGTGGCGCAAGACTTCTGCACAGCACAACTCCTTTTCACATGATCCCAAAACATGTGACATCTTAAGAAGTTTTAAGGTTAAGCTAAATGGCGGCTACAATTGCACTTGTTGCCTAATCAAGAACGGGGTCAAAATACACTGCTGTGATGGAAATAAGTTACTTATGAAGTGATTATTGATGTCGATGATTGTATCTGTAAGACACTGTCAGGGTTTTTAATAATAATAATAATAATAATTTAATAATAATCACCATTGTTCTCGTGCCAGAGGCAGTGTTCCCAATTTTATGAGAGTTGTCAGCTCTGTGGAGAAGTTTCTGCTGATGCCACTCTTTGATTTATTTCCCTCATTAATTATTTACACAAAACACCCCGACTGTAATGCAACATTTAAGCGTCCATGGTATCTATTGTCAGCCACTTCTTCCTTCTTTAAATAAGATTGGTCTTTCTTTTTCTTTCTGATTCTAATGTAAATGTGGGTGTGTTTTTCTGCCACAGGTCCCAGTGCAGTCTTGGTTTGATGATATGACAGACACGGAGCTTCTGGACCTCATTCCCTTGTTTGAGGGTCTCAGTAAAGAGGAGGACGTTTACAGTCTGTTACAGAGCCTAAGGAACAGGTAGCAGACAGCCACTCCAGCTGATCCCTCCTGCCTAAGCCCTGCTGAACAGAAGCCTCCCCTCTCTGCCACGGCCCCGTAGCCCGACTCCAGTCCTTCGAAGAGCTCTGGGAAGCTTCCCCAGTTGGAGGATTTCAGGCAAATGATCTACTCTTGATCAAAATAAAACAACAGTATGGATTCTCTGGGTTCTTGGACTCTTTGTACAGGACTCTAGCTGAAAAAAGATTCTATTACTGTATGTACATATTAAATGTTTCTAAGCGCAAGACAAGCATAAAGTAATTTTTCTATCAGAGAGAGGAGGTTTTACTATTCCAAGTATTTTAGTTACCGAAAAACGATCAAATACACAGAACAAATTTTTCGATTTTTGTTTCGTTTGTTTCTGAGAATCGATGACCTGTTGGGTTTTTGTGTTGAGCAGTGCTATGCAGGCCGTCGTTCCTCGTTTAATTTTTTTTTCGTTCTAACCAACTGTGATTTAACTTCTCTTTACAGAATGAAGTGCCTTCATTACTGTGCTGATTTTCTTGTGTCGGGTTATGGGGTGAGCATTTTTATGCTGCATATTTAGTCAATTCTCCAAAAGCGTATTCACTGAATCTTTAAATTGAAGTTGAAAATGAGTCTTTGATAATGTCATTTAATCCGAAAGAAGTGAAATGAACACTTCCTGGATTAGAGGGGAAAGAAAAGTAGCTTGTTAGTCCTGGATGACTTTTGATTTTCAGTTATGTAGCATTGAATTGTTAAATTTACCAAAGGTTTTTACAATTCAATGTGATTTGTGACTAAACAACATCATTTGATCCTCGGCAGTGACTGTAAATTGATGATTCTTGAGGACATTGAAACGCCGTTTAGGTAACTGAAGAAAAAAAATATATCTGTGATGACATCACTGTCCACCAATAAATGTTTGAGGAAAAAAAATAGAAAGATTAGCTTAGATATATAAAATTATATTTATTCGGGGAAAGGGTCCTGGGTGCATTGTAAAGAATGCTGTTGAAATCGTACTGTACAACGTTATTAAAGTTGCAAGTTTGCACACTGTCTGTGTCTGTCATGGAGTAATGATTCTCACAAAACTCACTTAATGGCAGTAACTGTGGAAATAATTTTACAATGAACTAAAGGACCAGCGCATAGCATTTAGCGATGCCTGAATTCAACACCAGCTTTCACGAACCTCTGTAACAACCCATGTCCTTAACACAGAAAAAAACATTAATAAGCCATATGAACAAAGCCCAAAACACAGCAATGTGACAGCTACAGTAAAAAAATGAAAACACAAAATATATGAACCTAAAAACATGCAGAAACATATGAACACTTCATTGATTACAATGTTTACCTGCTCATTAATGCAAATATCTAATCAGTCAATCACATGGCAGCAAGTCAGTGGATGTAGGTATGTAGACATGGTCAAGGTAGCCGCTGAAGTCCAAACTGAGCACCAGAATGAAGAAGAAAACTGATTTAAATGACTGAATGCGGCATGGTTGTTGGTGCTGTGTTGATGCCACAGGAGAGTAGATTGATGGACTTCTCTGACCAGACAGGAAGGCAACAGTAAGTCACAACCACTTGTAATAACAAAGGTTTGCAGAAGAGCATTTCTGAATCTAGCAGCACATGGGCCACAGCGGCAGACAAGCACACCAGGTAAGAACGGGAAGCCTACAGTTCACACAGGCTCACTGAAAGCGTACACTGGAGGCCAACTGACTCTTCCCATTGGCCAGAAAACACAACTCTAAATGAATGATAATGTGCAGATAATGATGAAAGTCTAAATATAGCATAGTTTATCAGTGCTGTATTTAACGTGGCTATAAAATGCTACCTTAGCAGAGGTGACAAGGATTTCTAATATTTTAGGAGAAATTTTGAAGCAACTGAAGGAAGTGTTTGCCTTAAATAATTTTTGATTTGAGTTGAAAATCTCACCAGAAGAATCAGTGCTGGAGCTCTGTGCACTGTAGTTTGTGACATTTTAACATGGATGAAAAAGCTCTTAATGATGCTAACTGAAGGAATTGCCAAAACATTCAGTGTTTTCATTTGCAATCAGGTCTTTGGCTCTCACACAGTTTTCTTATTTACAATTTTATTCAAAAGGAACTGATGTTATTGTGTTTTAATCAAAACTGTAAACCCAAGGAAATCCCAAGAAGTTCACACTTGAGCTCCGCTGCTCTCTGCTGTGGCTGCTGGGTTAAGTACATGAATTTATGAGCACGAGCATTTATGAGCTGGTTAATGTGCAACCAAAGGAGAGCTTAGCTTCATGTGATATCTTGATGTGAACTTTTAGCTTCCACTGGCGTATCAGCCACTTTTACTGCAGCAGTGGATTAGGTATTACCGAGCCCTTTGTACAAGCTTGGAGAGCGCTTGTTTCTTTTCTCCTCAGATATGCAGGGACTGAAGTTCAGTGCAGGGTTTAAGTCATTTTCTGGTCATAATGGAAGCCAAGAGTGAACTAAGAAGTGAAAGGTCAAAGGTAAGAAAAGCTTTAGCTTTCAATTTGTGATCTAAGACACTGTAGTGTTCAGACTCGCAGGCAGGGATTGTGTGAGTTATATGACACAAAGACAAGCATAAGCGACGTAACGCTGAACATAAAACAGCAAGATAGTCTGATCTGTGATTTAAGCACCGACTGCAATGCACATTAAGGGGACTTAAAAGATTGCTCACTTACTTTGTAAATGTGCGGGGTACCAGCAGATGCAGGGCTTGGTGGTCTTGGTTGGGAAATAAAAGAGCTTTGATTCTGAAGTGTTTAACAGCAGTCAGCATTCACAGGCTCTTTTCAATTCTGATCTATAAGATCTGGAAGATTCTTGCACTCTTAATTCTCAATGGTGTTCTTAACTTTCTAAGGAACCAACCCATGATTGTTTCATTACATTAACTTCAGTGTATGGCTTAGGAATAATGTTTCCCCCCCTTCTATTACTGTGCAAATGTCTTTGGGTGAAACTTTTAATATCTCTGCACATTTTGCAAATAAATGTAAGCACAAGCTGCCAACACCTTCTCCACTGGGAGCTTGAACCCCCGGTGCTGTAAACCTTCGATAATGTCAAGCGTTCTTCAAGTGTCGGTGTGAGTACGCGCAGAACGAGAGGATTTAGCCACGGAAAAGCGTCTGACTCCTTTCCAATAGCACTCGGAGCTCCCCGAGTCCAATTCCCCCATCTGCTAGTTGTAACGGTTGTAAAATGAATAATTGGTGCCAAGTGGTCCCTGTAATGCCCACTGTGCTGCTGAGGACTCAGACATACACAAAAGTGTGATTGGCTTCTATAAATCACAATCAGGACACCGAGTGAAGCTGGGGTCTGTCTCAGTGGCTTTCCTCAAATATGTTGACTCTGTGGTGTATTGTGCAACACACACACACACACACACACACACACACACACACACCTCCCTTTCCACCTGCATCAAGTGTGACAGCTGGGAAGAAATGAGAGGGGGCGTATCTAACACCGTGGCACTGTAAATATCAAGATAGAAGATGGCAGGTGTGTTCATACCTGGGTGTGGTAACAAATACATCCAGCCCTCTATGCCTCGCACTGCAGCTTGCGCATAAGAGGAAAAGGCAGCGGTATCTTATAAATACAGACCTTTTACATAAATCACTATCTCCACAACTTGTAGGAACCAGCCAGGACTTCACCACGGCAGTCACAGGACAAGGTAAGACCCATCCTACTACTATTTCTTTGAGAAAAGCTACCTTGTTTTCTGCTTTGTGAACACACCTCTATTTATTTTCACTGACTCAGTGAAATCTGGAAAGAATAACATCTTTATTATCACATTTAAGGATTTTATAAACACAGGTTTCCGGTGTTTGGTTTTTTTTGGAGGGGGGCGGGGGGTTAACCAACGTGATTTTACACGAGTTGAAGAAATACGTATGGTGCAGCATTAACAAAAGTGATTGTGTATGTTCCACCAAAGGACAATGCAGGTTAATTGATAGGGAACCAGTCTTTCCTGTCTGAGTAATAGAAGCAATGCCGCTCGCAGGTTTATCTTTCCTGTGTTATTTGCTCAAGTTTTCAGTAATTGTTTTAAGCAGGGATCAGATTGCACAGTTTATTTATTTTTTATAACAGGGATTTGCAACCACAGCTGAAGCCACTGATAACTGGCAACCAGGCGTGATCGTATTGAGGTGATTACTTTCAATTAATCAAATATCACAGTGGCGTCACTTCTTCATCTTGATGTTTGTTTTTTATCCGTATGTTATACGGAATAATCTCTGTGTACATACACTTTACAGCTGCTCTGTTTGAAATGGAACTATGGCATTCCTGTCAAAATCTAATGGGTAATGGACAAACGTGCAGGGCAGGGTGTACCTTGTTTTTAAGAAAAGGGAAATAAAATTTGGGGACTACATTTTAACAATAAACACACACAAAGTTAATTAAAAAAGAATGACATTTAAATATGTATCGTGTTTATTTGTCAAGCTGTTAACAGACGCCCTCCAGTCTGTGGCTGATAGTAAGTTAACAGGGCATGACCAAAGTTTAGCACGAGTTTACAGACACTTTGAGATTGCATTACTTTTTAATTTAGACAAAGTTGAGTTGAAAAGCAATAAAACACACCCTGTTTTTGTTCACTGGACTCGGGTCATTATGTTTGATAGAGCTCCCTGTTTTGACCTTTATCTAGATAAATTTTTGCTGTGTAGCTGATATTTCAATCGACTGATTACGATTAGATATTTTAAGTCTTTATATTTTTGTCAATATTACACCTGTACTTCACATGTACATTTGGCGACATGCACTTTTGGCACCTAGCTCTACTGGATGCCTAAACTTGGATAATCTCTTTTTAAAGCTGCTCATACGCAACCTGATTAATTGCGTTATAAGCTAACATAAGACGTTAGCTTAAAATTAGCTATTTAAGCTCAAGTGCTGTCTCTTCATTTTCAAATCTCACCTGCTTCTTTTGTTTGTCGAGTGTGTGTCACCTCTTTATCAGAAGACATAAATACCAGAGCCTGTTAATAATACTATAAAGGGTGTGGTTAACTAAGTGTTCCTCTCACACCACCAATCACTGCCCGGATAGATATTTTATTACTAGACGCGGAACAAAGATTAGAGCTAGTACATGTAATAGTGCTTTATATTACTTCTCCCAAGAATACGTTCAACCACATCTACTCCAGCTGTTTCACAATGTCATATTATGGCATCAGTGTTGCAAGTGCGTTCATAATATGTTCTTGTTTCCATACAGCCTAACGTTGGCTCAGCTGGTGATACTGTTTGCTTATCAGTGCTGTTGTTTCTGATATCCCAGTCAAGAGGCTGTTAAAGCACCGCTGATTGCTTGTATTTTCCTACAGCACCAAGTTGATACTCATTAGCAGGATTAGAGGTGCTTTGCTGTCAGAGAGTCAGTCCTTTGAAAGCATTCACTTGTCATTTTGGAGACATCTGTTTCCAGTGAAAAGACAGCGATGCCAGGATGAGTAAGAGTGAGGAAGAGGTCTCTAAAGTGAAATATCTTTTCTGTTCAAGTACTGTTTAAGGAGTCAGGAGTGAACATGTATTTTTCAGTGTGCTAGTTAATCTTCTAAGTATTTATCTCTTCAGAGTTTGTGCTAATTTTATATCATTTAGCTGTTTTATTTTACATTACTTTTTCTTCTTCTTCTTTTTGCAAAAAACAGTTAAAAATAAACAAACAACAAGTAATTAATTCTTATAGTTTTTACTCTTTTTCCACTGGTAGCTAGCTATTACCGTTTGCTGAAAAGCTAAAACAAGCTAGTGGTGGTGTCAGTGGACAACATGAATAAAAAGGAGATCATTATGTAACAGGGATAGCTTATTTTAGTCACTTGGCAAAACACAGTGAAAGGTCCATAGACTGTAGACACCATGATGTCATCTCTTAAGTTCTGCTTTTTTACCCT